CTCCTGTACAGCACTTTGGTTTTTATTGTGCTTTATAAATAAACGATGATGATGATGATGATGATGATGATGATTCGCATCATGGATGTGCAGCCGACAAATCTGCGGCAACTGTGTGATGCCATCATGTCAATATGGACCAAAATCTCTGAGGAATGCTTCCAGCACCTTGTTGAATCTACGCCACGAAGAATTGAGGCAGTTCTGAAGGCAAAAGGGGGTCCAACCCGTTACTAGCGTGGTGTACCTAATAAAGTGGCCGCTGAGTGTATATATATGAATGAAGATTAAAAACTCAATGTCACTCCACTGCCACCTCAATGCGACCCCCTAAAGTTGACGGCACCATCTATTTGAGAAGCACTAGTTGAAAACCAGACACAAACCTGAAGGGATATAATAACCATTGCTCCTAAGAATAAAAGTGCATTTTTTATTTATTTTTTAATACAGCAACATGGTATATCACTTCATTCTCCAAAACATTAAAAGCATCTCTCAGGAAAATATTCTGTGAAATAAAATACATACAGAACATTTAAATAGAAAATGAAAATAGATCTTCAGAAGATAAAAAAAAGAAACAAAAAATAGCATATATTTAACCAAACCTAATCCAGGAAACACTAAATGACAGAAGCACATGTGACCAACATTACGTATTTAAAAGCGGGAAAAGTCAGAGGAGAGCATGCTCAGTAGATTACTTTTAATCCCAAAGTCTGAGCAGCATGAAGGGAAAAGATCCTGTAAGCATCTGAAAAATGACAGTTTTACAAGGTAAAGTATCACAAAGAGACAAGAAAAAGGCTGCTTTGTGCAAATAACCACAGTGGTCCACTTCTTCCAGTGTTGTCATGAGAAATCGTACATATTTATCTTTTTTTTCCTGTTTAATATTTTATATAAGTTACACAACAAATAAATATGTCATCTGTAATGAGGGTAGTGTTTCCGTTTTACTAAATAGATTTCTTCAAATATATATTTATATGTGTGGAAGTAGAAAAAGACCTGGGATGGGGTTACCAACAAACGCACAAATTTCAGAGACTCCTTCACAACTAACAGGTGTTTTTTAACCTAAAAATATACATTTTGGTTCACGAGGATTTCTGTAATCACACTGTGGTTGTTTCAGTAACTATGTCCAAACTTTAACATCTGCTAACTTTGAAGGTGTTTATCAGGAGTGAATCGAACACATTTATGTTTAATACTTTCAGATTAAAAGAAACATTCATTTAATATGGCTCTCAAAATAAGTCATCAATACAGAAATGTCTCAAAATAAGTTAAAAAAATGTGACCATTAAAATAAGAAAGTGTCAATGAATTTTATAAAAAAAAAAAAAGACTACAATTTAAAATAAAAACAGAAATTTGAGCTTTTGTGTCTCAGTTTTCTTTAGCACCCCTCTACTACTCTTCATTATTTTGTAAAATTATTGTCTTTAAGTACAACCACACCAGAAATAATTTATGGTTAGTTTTTGGTGAACAAATGTGATTTATTGTTTACTGCTCATTATTTCTAATTAATGTAAGGTAACTGTTAAAATTTTGTGAAAAAAAATTCTGTTACAAAGTAAAAAATAAAGCCTTATTTAACTTATTTATTTTGCATTCCATATTTTAGCTAATAAATTTACTCAACATATTTTTTCATTGTCTTTCTTTCAATCGTTGCAACTTCAAAGAAATAAATAATTTTATTGCTAGCTGATTTCAGCTATCCCTAGGTCGATGTCTTAAATTCTCCTTTGCTAAAATAACCACAGTGTTATTACAGAGGTATTAAACCAGAATGAATTAAAATCTTAATAAGATAAAACTTTTAGGGTGCCATGGCTCATGCTATTATTGGTAAAATTTGCAGGGAAAAAAAACAGATAAACTGAATAATATGCAGCAAAGAGGCAATACAGCAAAACCAAATACAGCATTTTTTGTGTCTCACAGGGAAAGAAACCAAACTGCAGCGGAGAGAAACGGGAGGTCAATTCTCTGATTTTGATCAACAGTGGTGGCAGTTTCTACCTCACAGTGTTTATGGACGGTTCAGGTAATTGGATGCCATTGTGTAAAGTCCAGATTCTCCACGTCAGAGATCATCAAGTTTTTGGTCTCCCTTCAAATTTGAGGAAAAAAAGATGTTTGTTTTTCTACTCACATCCTTAACAAAAGGTTGAGGACACAGAAACAGTCACTGAGGAGTTTTGGACACCGACTGTTATTGCTTCGCCTCAGTGGCAGGTTCGGGACAGGACGATGAGGTCACTGGTGCGGGCGGAGCTAGTGTAGAAAACCAGGAGGACATGGCAGACTTGGCACTCGTCAACGCTCCACCCACAGACTGACCTAAGAATGGAAAAATAATGTAAAGGTTTGATTTTACTGAAGAATCTTTTATAAAATCTGGCCATCTGATTTGGGGTTAGGTTTGGAGTCTTCCTTACCCACGATCTTTCCGGTCTGGACCATACTGCGGCTGGTTGTCATCATGGCATTTCCAATCTTCTTCCCTCGTTCGCTGTTCTGCACCGAGCTGCAGAAAATTGTAAACAATACAAAGTGTTTTTTAAACTAAAAATGAACATCCAWCTTTACTCTTCTGGGCTACAAAAGTAACATTTGAATTTTCCCGTCTTTCCTGGAAACAAACTACATAGAAAAGCCGTCAATGAACGCAGTGATAACTTGTTGGAGATTATGTAACGACTAAGTAAAAGTCGCGGTGGGCGAAAATGTGATGATCAGAGCTGACCTGAGAAACGCTCTGGCCACGTTTCACACTAAATATACGGCTAAAGGCAGCGCCGCCTGGCTTTATCGGAACATTAAGCTGGTGCAGATCCAACACGCAACCTTTCATGTGGATCCCAGCTGACCTGACATTCAGCARGAATCTGACTCCTGCTTCATCTGGGTGGCTGCAGCGTTGTTAAAAAGATGATCGTGTCAGCAGCTGCAGAAAGCAAACTCCTGCCACTCATAATCTTTAAATGTGTCATTTTAACTAAAAATAAACTACTTTATTTAACACATGAAGATTACAGTAATCACAATGCTTATTGCAACTGTTTAACACATTTTGGCTCTCCGAACCCAGCTTACAAAAATGAGATACATAAACAGCTCGGCTTGATTACTGCATAGTACTTATACTGCTTATATTGCTCATCTGCAACTGGTTCAAAATGCCACAGCTCAGTTTTTAACTGGTCCAAGAAAAACAGAAAATATTTCTTCAGCTGTGGCTTTCCTTTTCTGGCTTTCAGTTCTATTCCAACTCATCTTCAAATTACCCCCTCTGATCTCTCTGAACTGCTGCTGCTGTATGCACCTCCGTTCTCTCTGAGGTCAGCAGATCAGATGCTTTTCATGGTTTTTAGGACATGATGCAAGCTCTTAGGTGATGGGACTTTGTTGCAGGGCCAAAATTCTGGAGTGGTTTACCACTGCATATAAGACAGGCTGCTTCATTAGCTGTTTTAAAAACACAATTTTACTCCCTGTTATCAATCTGGTGTGAGATGACTTTGACCTCATAGTGCTTTGATTTATTTACTTGTTTATTGAAATGGTTTCTTATTCTCATTTCTATAAATTTATCATTTTTATTCTTTGTCTCATGCTTCTTTTGCACAGCCTTTGGCCAGCTTTGTTGCTTTTTGAGGTGCTTTATCAATAAGATGGTACAGTACGGTATATGGTACGATTTAGTGTGGTGAGATGTGACATAGTACGGTAAGGTTTGGTATGGAATCATAGTACGTTACAGTACGGTACAGTATGGTATGGTATGATTTTGTATGGTGAGATGTGGTGTAGTATGGTAAGGTTTGGTATGGTATCATAGCATGCTAGGCTACAATATGGTTTGCTACAGTATGATCTGGTATGGTACGGTATGGCTAATACTATTTTATAGAGAATCATTTAGATTATACTAGGTCAAATACATGAAAATAAATAGTCAGGATTDGAGAAATTCAAGTCAAACTACCATTAAATATGAAGCTTTTACAAAAATTACTTTAGAAATCATTGTTTAATACTATGATGAACTGTTATATATACAGTATTTGAACACATTAAGGTCAAACAAAGATAAAACTGAAACTAAAATGTACAATTATCAAACTCTTCTATGTCAAACCTCAAAAATGTCAAAGCAACTAAATAGAGCACTGGCCTCACATCCAGCTGGCTGACCCAAATAAACATGGCTATTATGTAGCGCTATGAGGTATTCAGACAATAAAGAAGCATCCTTTAACAGAGTGTGATCGCCTGAAGCTGTGCGGCTCGTCACGTGACTTTGTTTCCTGAAAACATCTTTGCCACAAGCTGCTTTTTTATCCAATCGTGACAACGAGGGAACACAAAAAAGGTCAGTCTCGTTTTATCCCCTGGAGCTTCTTTTAACCACACACATCACTGCACAATCGCACGAAAGTCAAACCTAGGGTTGTTTTTTTTAATCCTTTTTTGCATTCAGCAATGAGCTGAACAGAGTGGATAGATTTGGCTTTCAGCTTTTTGCTTTCCCAACAGACAACTTGAAGAGTGGGATCTATCACACAAGCCACCCCCTGACCCCTGTTCTCCCCCAAGTCACCCAGTGTCAGGTTTAAAAAAAAAATAACTCCATGTTTACTGGTGCAGGAAAACAGGAAGTGTTTTGTGGTTGAGAAAATGTTCAAAGACTGGTGGAGATAAATAAATCAAGCTGCAACTAAATGTTTCAGACTGAAAACCCACAGGGATTACTGGATTAAACAATTTCAAGTTCTCAGAAAAGAAAAACACATTTGAAAATATGAAGTCTTGAAACTGGTTTATTAGAAGAACCTAAGAAACATTCTTTTGTCACTGGTTCCTAAATAAATCTTGGGTCTCTTATTATTACTCTAACCTGTTTTACTGTCAGTACACAAACCTCGCGGACTTCTTTAGTATGTGTTGTAAAAATTAGATCTTTGTTCTTTTAGTACTCTGATCATGAGTTATGCTCAGTCATTACAAACCTKTATGTTTTCCTTTTCTATTTAAGCTGGTTCACAATTTTTATTTTATTACTATTTTCTTGATAAATTCAGTTTGTTGAATTGTTAACTGGGATGTAATAAATTTCTTTTTAGACAGACATAGACCATTATTTATAAAACTGTTTTAACCATAGGCAAGCCTTTACTTCTATTTTTAGTACTATCAAAGTATTTTTGTAGAATATTTGTCAGAAAGTAAGACTGGTGAAATGGCTAAAAGGCTAACCAACTATTAGCACAAACTGATCAATGTATATTTTTATTCTACTTAGGTATTAACCATTCTATCACAGAGATTTCATTTGCATTAAACTGGAGATAACTGCTAAAACTAGTCTTTTTTCATTGTGACCATGAATATAAAKAACATTCTGTTCCATATATGTTGTTTTCAAAGCTACAAAGATGGGCTGCAGGTGAACCCAAAGGGCTGCATGTGGCCTGAAATCTGCAGGTTGCATTCATGGAATAACACTATTATATTGATTGTATTTATTTTAGTTTTTGCATTGCTCAGGACAACAGATGGAAAATTAGACATTACGCTAACTCTGTCACATTTATATTTTTTGAATGTCCTTTTAAACAAATAAAGGCAATGAAATGAAAAGCAGTCAACTCTCCAACACATTTGTTCTCATTCTCCCTTGAGAAAATGTCAAATACTGTTAAGAAATTTAGAAATGTTATTGTTTTATTGCATTGCAACTATCTTGTGTTTTGTTGTCACTTCTGAATTGCTTCATTTTATGTAAAACTTTTGTTGTTTTTAGTAGGGGTTTAACGATACATCAATCTGTATCGATATATCAATTTGAACRGTTCATGATTCAGTAATATCGAGGCAAAATGAAAAYACTGATTTATATTGTCATCATATGCTCGAGGGGAATCTAAATAATTTGATATCGCATTATATCGACCGCAGAAGTGAAGTGAACTGAATCGAAATCATATTGTGACAGACTTTGTGATATCGAGAAATATCGAATCGTCACCCAAACATATCGATGTAATACTGTATCGTGATAAAGCTGGTGATTTACACCCCTAGTTTTTAACAGGCTGTATAAAGTGACTTGACTAAAAACTCTGGTAATTTTTCCAAAAAAAAAAAAAACACCGTTGGCTGACCAGATGCAGTACATCTGTTCCTGTATAGCTTGTGTCAGTTTCTGCACTCATGTTTACCCTGCTTCCTTAAAAACATTACATATGTGAGATTTATTCATTAGCAAAAGATAAGAACTGTTGTGTCACAAGATTGTCTTTTGGTACCAAATCAGAATTAAAAAAGTTTTATGATCGGACACTTCTTGGATATACAACCCGTCCTTAAAATGTTCTTCCTGTTTAAGGTTTTCTCCCTGAACAGAGCTTGGGTAAATCCTGTGGGGCCCCTGGCAGCCTGTAAACACTACTATTTGATGGTCAGGGTTGAGTCAAGACCGAGCAGTTTATCTGCTGCTGTGTCAACACGTGTTGGACAACCTSGCTAACAAACACTTCTTCAGTTTGGCTGAATCTCCTCCTGTTTTAGAAGCCTGCCTTTACAAAAAGGCTGAGGCAGGAAATGAGACACACAAAGTTCTGAAAAGCTCTGATGRCTTAGGGCCTAACAGCCTGCAACCACCATACCCCTACACCAGTAATAACCAGAGTTTTATAGAGAAGATCAAGATCCAACCTGKTTTCAGGTTTACTTTGCAGACATCCCAATCCTCGGAGAATTTAAAGAGTAACTAAACCCAAAATCAACTTAGTTTTTTTTGTTTTGTTTTGTTTTGCAGATAGACTCTTTAAATTGTGCATTAAGGGCATTATGTGCAAATTTTGACATTTTTGTATAAATTTGTTTATTTCTGCAATATTTGGTCTAAATCGGTGTAAGTGCTGCCCTCTATGGGTTGAATGGTGGCTACTGCAGTAAAATTTTCCTATTAGTTAAAATGGTACAGCTTGGTACATGCTTACATCACAGATCCCATGTTCGGGTATACAAACCTCTCTCAGACACGCCCCTGCTGCAACTCAGAGGTTGGAACAGTTTGTTACTGCTTTGAACATTAGCCCATGTTAGCAAAGATCTTTGGAGCAGTGGAGGAAGTGAATGAAGCCAGTCCGTGTTGAYAAGGCTTCAAATTAAATTAAATTTGTCTGACAAAGCAGCAGCTCTCATTTACAACCGTCTCGTTCAGCTCTGTACTTCTCTCCTCTCAGTAGAGTTGTTTATAGCGCACGCAATTTCCGGTTAGCTTCTTAGCTTAGCCTCCTTCACAGTGGAGCTGGCACACATACGTCGCGGCCAACCAATCCAATAATTTTAAACTTCAACAGAGGCCACGCCTCCAGCAAGAATCCCTTCTCTATAGCCGTGAGTCCAGACTTGTATGAAGCAAARCRAAGGACAWGGGGCTGGTTTTTACTAGGCTAGGTGTTTGACTGAACTTTAATATTTCCATGTGGAGCAGCAGGATGCACTGAAGGTGACACATAATTCCCAGAGTTATTAGAGAGCAGAAGGAAGTGKAGGCTAAAGGGACCACACAGCTGGTTTTATCCCTGAAGGACACTCTGATTTTACGCTGYTGCTGTCTCCAGCTTTCTCCACACCATAACAAGTTTCTGATAATTAATGCTTTATTTGTTAAATTTGGTTATAAAGTAGGAGCAAAACTTGGTAAAATAACGCTAAATTTAAGTTGCTTGTCAATAATTTTGCAAAGATTACTTTAAATTTTCCATATTTACCCACTTAAAAACATCTGGAATAAGCAGTGAACTAAACAGTTTTTTTTAATTTGAACTTCTTATTTCCCTAGAGTCTTTCTATGACTTAAAATGAATTTGTCATTTAAAAACAAAATATTCAGTGACTCCACTAATTAGCAAAAATGTTTGTTTGTTACCTTTCTGATTTAAYTGCATTATAATCATTATTCTCTTACTCATACAGAGGTGGCAGGCAAACTGAACCACCCTCTGTTTCCTGAAGCTTTGTGACAAATTTCACAGCAGCCCTGACACCAAACACCTGAAGGTAAAGCCAGAGCGTTGAGTGTCACAGCCAACCASATATGCCCGTGTTGCTACCATGAACTGAAGTTAGGGAACACGACCAGCTCTGTTTCGAGGAGGTGGGGGACCTATCTGCAGCGTAACACTGGAAGCAGCGCTCCAGCAGTGGAGGGAGTCGGCTTTCATACACACTTCCCGGAATGAAAGCAGATCGGAGGCCGAAGGAGTCTCCAGCTCTGTTCTTGAGAATGAAACTCTCTCATTATTAATGACTCGGGCCGTTATGAGACCCTCTTGTTTACTCCCCCTCCCTGCGACTGCTATATCCATCCACAAACCCAGTCCGAAGCCATCGGCTGCTCCTGACAGCAAATAGTACGGAGCGCCGAGCCCCACAACCTTTGGAAATCCAATCACCAGTGAGTGGTCTAAAAAGAGCCGGCGGTGGATCATCAGCTCATCAGACGTTAACGACACACCGCCAAAAGACAAACTGAGCCTGAGAATCTCACACTTACTAATTTAGTTATGTAACTAATTCTTTTAAGGCAGATCATTTGATTCTCAGTCATTCAACATAAATATATTAACTACAACCACTTAAGAGTAAAACATTTGTTCCATTCAATGATAGAAATTCACTAAATGTTGCTTTGATCCGCTCATGTTTAGACTTTTTACAAAATTACTTTTATGTTAGTTTATTTTATTTTTTTGTATTTTTGTCCACTACATTGCAGAGCAGGTGTAAGAATAAGAATATACTCACTGTGAGAGTCGTAGTTTGACATCAGCTACACTGTACTGGCCCTGAAAGGGGTGGCTGCAGAGAGGACATGATAAAAATACCAAGATCAGACCAACATTCATAGTTTCCCAAACAAATTCAATCAACAGTCAGGTTTATATCAAATCAGTTTAAATTAAAAAAAAAAATCTCAAACCTCAACAATAATAAGCAAACTACTTTCTAAAACCTTCACAAAATGTATGATAAAACCTCAGAAAAAATCAAAAACATTTTAGTGTTTAAATTGGTAAATAATCCTAAAATTAAAAGTAACGGCATCAAATAAAACACACAAACCTGGGATACCAAAATACAGATGTCAAGAGTTTAACATAAAAAGCACTACCACAAATACTGCAACATTTCTATGTTTACTAAAGTTTATTTGTCCGATTACTTTATTTACTACTGAAATCTAGTAGTTTCAAACCTTGTAGTATTTCTGCTAGTTTGTCTTAATATCACTTCTTCTGTTGAATGTAAAACATTGACAATTAAAARAACGCTAGATTTTTTTCACATCCAAATTCAGAGTTTTTATTTATTTGACCTTTTATTTAACCAGGTTAGTCACAGTTCTGTCCCTCAGGTGTGATCGGCTGCCTCTAGAATCACTGAGGTTAATTTTCTACACACGGTTTGTAAACAAAACTTTGAAACAGAGTTTAAAAAACCCACATGCACTCAGTATTTTATCTGTTGTAGGAATTAGTCATATTGCTCTCAGATTGAAGAATCAGAGAAATTTTCTTGAATGCCTCAATCTSAGCAGGATGCATTTAAAGGAACATTTCTGTCATTAAAACTAATTAAACTCAACATTTTATAGATGTTCAAGCAAATGCTAAGTTGGGGATTTTTACACCTTATTGCTCTTATCAGATAGTTACTTGAACTGTTCCTTTTTTCAACTCGTGTTTCACAGAAAGCATTTTGCAATACATCATGTAAAAGGTAAAAAAATGCATAAAAACTTAGAAAACCCTTTCACTTGAACAGAAATGGAAATTTAGAGTTTAAGCTGACARAGATTTGTTCCTTGATTAACTCTGAGTAATTGTTAGCGTAACACCATGAAAAATTCCCCCTGAATGTTTAAAATTAAATTTCTTCAACAAACATCTATTGTATGTAAGATACTGACTGCTCAAACCTTCTACACACAACCCCCGTTTGACGAAAAATTTAATCTCTTACAGTACAAAGAGTTTGAGTTATCAGAAAATATCCAACACTGAGAATGATCAATGTGGGGTCTCTGAGTCGACTCTCCTGCCCACTAACCCTGGAGTGATGGCTGTCATGGCAGGATGTTTGTTGCTGAACCACACCCGGTAGTTGTGAGTGATCTTCCACGCCGCGATGAAAGGAGCTCCATAGTCAGCCAGAAGCCTCTCGTTATCTGGGTAAARACAACCCCAAAAAAAGGAGAGGAGTGGGTGGGGAGGGATTGTTGTGTGAATTAATCACACAATTATTAAAGCTCCAAACTTATTGATTAAACTATAAACATCTAACAGAATCAACATTTGCAATAATCTGCTGCTACTCCAAACTTCCTTATCCCCCATATCTCCTATAGTTTGTATATTTATGTTCTATTTTTGCTTATTCTATTCTCCTTGTTCTATCCTTTTTTTTAATCCATTGTATCTGTATTTCAATTGCTTATGGGTGTAAATGGACCGTGATAATACAAATTTCGTTTCACCACATGTACCACATGTGATGCGAATGACAAAGTCTCCTTGAATCCTTGAACACTTTATTCCTCAGCAGGACAGAGGAAAGTTTAGAGATTAATACAAATAGTTAATCACTTCATTCATTCTTGTTMCACGTGATTAAAGGGCAATATTATGTGTTTCTCAGGCATATATTAAATGAAAACATTACAGTCACCTATCAAATATTTTATTTTATCAGTTGAAATCATTGAAATTTTATGAATTGGTTGATTATAATATTTTGCAGATTATGTATAAAGCTCATAAAAATTTATTACCTTTAAGTATCCAATTAAATTTTGTTAAGAGAGTAAGTAATTATAATCTTAAGGGACTAGAGATGTTTGTAAAGCCTAAAATTCGAACAAATTTGAAGGACCGATGTACTTCAGCGCAAGGAATAAGATTGTGGAATAATCTGGAAAGTGAGCATAAAAATGCTGGGTCAATAAGTTTGTTTAGGAGAATGATAAAAGTTATATTATTGAAGAAATATGAATTTTTAAAATGTGCATTCATGAGAACAGTTATAGAAGGAGTTGAAGTTTTTGGTCATGTTTTGTTATTTGAAG